CCTCTGGATTTAGCCCTTGGCCTTTGCTCTGACACCCAAACTCACCTGCGTGGGAATCCTACCTCAACCAGGAAGAGAGGCCAGACTGATGCCGCCACTGAAAATCCAGGAAGGGGGGGAGATTCTGTGAAAGGGGGGGGAGATGCAGGGGGGGGGCAGCAGGCAGGCAAAGATAGAAGAGAAGCTCCAGAGGGAGGGGCTGCCCCCCCCCCTCAGAAAGGGAGAGGAAACTAGAGAACTACCTGCTTGGCTCCGATCGCATCCATGGCTCCCATTCTGGGCAGGAGAGTCCAGCCCGAAACTGGAGTGGGAGGAAGTGGGGCCAGGCCCACTTCAAGGTGGAAGGACCTGGGATAGAAAGTGGGCGGGGGGGGGGGGGGGAGGAGAGGATCAGGCTCGGCCAATAGGTGAAAAGGTTCAGCCTTTGCCACTCCAAAAGGCAGGGCCAGCACCAGGGGGCCCAGGGCACAAGGAGTTTACGGCATCATAAAGTGGCAGCTGGCAGCCGGGCTGCCACATGACGTGGTTGGAGGGCCACCCATTAGAGGGGCCCCAAGCGGAGCTTGCACTGAGCATGGGCTAGGCTAGGTGACCTCTAAGATTCCCTCCAACTCTAAAGCAGCAACCCAGGAGGAAGGAAGGCAGCTCTCAGCCGTGGCCCAGACGCTGCTCCTGTGGGGGGGGGGAGAACCAAGCTCCCCCCAAGGAGAGAAACGGTCTAGAACCAAGGCTAAAGTTCTTGTCTTGAGACCCATCGACCCTGCTGGCCTTCAGCAGTTGTGGGGGCTTCGTCGCTGGAGGCTTTTAAAGAGATGCTGGACAGCTACTTATCTTCTCCAGGGGGTTGGACTAGATGATCTCCAAGACCCCTCCCAACTCTGCTCTTCTGTTAGAGAACCCAAGGGAAGAAGGAAAGAGCCAGCCTTGCTTTGGGGGCAGGTGGCCTCCCCCAGAGCGCCGGCTTCTTCCCCGGGGGCTGGTCTGGGTGTCGACCGAGCCTCCCGGATCCGTCCCCGCCCTTTGCCTGCGCCTTTGGGTGCCTGGCTGGACGCCAAGCTTCCGGGAATGGTCCTTGATCAGAAGATAAGAATCCGGGGACCCACCCAAATTGGACCCTGCCCTGTTCTCCTGGGACCGGGGCCATTCACCTCCATCCGCCTCCTGGCTCCCGCCTCTCTGCCCCCCACCCCCCCCACCCCCACCCTCACCTGTCCTGGCTCTGGCCGTGTCCTTTCGGGCTTGGTTGGGGGGGGCCTCTTGGCCTGTGCAGGAGGAGGGTCTTTTGGGGTGGGCTCATGCAGAACCACAAATCCTTAAGCCTGTTTTGTGGCCCCTTTCCGAGGCTTTGGGGAAGCGAAACTGCCTGGGATTAACAATCCACTCCATAGCTAAAGGCTAAAGGCTAATGCTAAGGCGATATGGATTTCTGAATATTTAAAGAAAAACCTTTTTTGCTGTGAGTGGGAAGGGAGAGGAAAAAAATTGGCAGTAGAATTTGAAAACGAGGAGGAGACTGCCTAGAATTTTAAAGAGCTATTTGGACATTAATAAGACTTCAAAAAGAGATATTTTAATTGGAACTTTGTGATTTAACAGCAACCCCAGAAAAAGAAACGGAAGAAAGAAAAAAAAGTGCTAAAAGAAATAGTTTATTTGGATTGTTTGGTGACTTTGGATCTTTTGGGAATTATTTTTGATCAAAAGCGCTTGGGTGGTTGTTTTGGGAAAATCTTTTTCTCTTTATAATGGCATTATCTGTGGATGAATTAAAAACTGAATATCAAAAATATATAAAAAGGAAGAACAAGAATGGAAAGATACTTTGGGCACTCTTTTTCAATTTCTAGAAGTGGCGGTACGTACTTTATGGAGAATCGATTGCGCAGCAGGACGACTGGGATCAAGAAGAAGCCATCTTTGATGAACAAGCGATTCTATTTGGGGAGGAGGAGAAAGGGGAAAAGGAAGAGGGGGCTTTAAGACCTAAAAAAACAACCCAAAAAGACAAAAATGAGTTGAAAGGGGGATACAAGGTTAGAAAACAACAGAAAGGGGGAAAGCAGAAGAAGAAAAGGGAGGTGGCGAGACAAAGGGGTGAAAAGGGTAAGGAGAAGAATAAGCAAGGGAGAAAGGAAGGGGTGAGAAGCCTTAATGACGGGAAGCAAGATTTGAAGAAACAAAATTCATTTAGAGACAATGGGCAAATTTAATTGAAAAAGGGATTCTGTAAGGTACATAAGATTGTGTTTTTATATGTGTTCTTAGAATAAAATGCTTAAGATATAAATGAGTATTAATATGTATGATTAATTTCTTAATGGTATTGATAGTGGTACTAGCCACATTATATATCTATAAATCTGTTCCTTTGTTGTTGTTTTCTTATATAATACATTGTGTAATTTTAGAATGTACTAAAAAGAATCCCAATACAAGTTGTGTGTGATATTAAGTATTATTAAGCTAGGGGAAAGAGTTAAAGGCGTCATACTCCAATCAGTGCACAGGAGAAGTTTTGTTTAAAGAGAAAAGATGAATTTGGATAGCTGGAAATAGAACAGACAAAGAATGACAAGTATTATGGTTTGAACTGAGATGAGATAAGTAGAATAAAACTAAGAGAGTTAAAAGAGGGAAGAAGCTATATAGAAAATGGAAAACGGTAATAAGATATGGAATGATATATAAAAGGAACATGATTTTTGAAGTTGTGTCTGTATGATGAGTTTTAACCCGGGATCAAGCAACTTTCAGAAAAGATGTTTTATGTTTTTGTTTTATGTTTTGCTTGTTTGTGTATTGTCCTTGAAAAGCAACAAAAAATTTTCTTTTTTTTAGTAAGAAATATAATTTGAATAATAGAATGAAAGGGAGAAACACAGAGAAGCTGGGATAAGATATGAAGTTGAACAAATAATGTAATATATATATATATTAAATTGTGTTTGTACGTGATAATTTGGATTTATTTTGTTTTGAAATAAGATGTTCTATTGGTCTCCCTAGAAAAGATCTCTTATTATATTCTATGCTTTGTTTATTGTTTGGAAAAACTAATAAAATTTGTATTAAAAAAACCCCCAAAACAACCCACACCTTTGTTTCTGAACCCTTTCGCTGGCCTTTTGCCTTTATTTAGACTTCTTGTTTGCTGTCCTTCTCAGAAAAGCGGCAATTCTAGGAAAGAGCGAACCGTCCAGATTCAAGAGCAGATTAGAAAGACCACGTTCCTTTCCCTGACCCCGGCGGGTGGGTGGGATGAGGGGGGGCATTGGAAACGGGGCCCTGTGAGACATGGCGTCCAGAAACGGTTCGTTTTGGTGGGAGGGGGCCCCGCCGAGCCTCCTGCCAGAAAGCCTGAAGAGGAGCCAGCGGGAGCCACAACGGTTTTACTTCTCAAACTCCACGCGGAGGAGCCGGGCGTAGCAAATCTTCCAGATCTGAACGGCTTCCTCCTTCTCTTTTTATCTTCTGCAAGGCACCCGGAGCTGCCTTTGGGGCGGGGTGGGGGACAGGCGCATTGACTCAATAAGAGGCCCTCATTCTGCCCCCCCCATCGAGTCCAGGTCTTCGTGTCTCCAATTGCACCCCAATAAAAAGGTCAGCCAGTGGGGAGACAGGCTGTGCTTCCTTCTCTTGGGACCCTCCCCCCGCAGATGGGTTTCCAAGGGAAATTTGCTCCCCCGCCCCCACCCAGGAGGCCACTTCCAAGCACAGTAAGAGCTGGAAGGAACCCTGGAGGTCTTCTAGTCCAGCCCCTGCTGGAGCAGGAAACCCTGTAGCATTTCAGGCTGTGCAGCCTCAGAAACCTTGGGGCACCCACAATTCCTGGGGAGAAGCCATTCCCTCCTCCGTTTAATCTGGGCAGCTCCTCGCCTTGGTCAGTTTCCACCCGTTGCTTCTCGTCCTGCCCTGAAAGGCTTTGGAGAAGAGCCGGAGCCCAGACCGGCCATTGCGTCCCCCCTGCTCCCTTCCTCTCAACCAGGCCTACCCAATTCCTTCTCCGTCCCTCTGGGGCCTCCCCGTCTTTTCTCCCCAGGGCGGCCTGACCAAGGCCTCAGGCAGCGGGACTAACCCTCCCCGGGGCCTCAGCTGGGTGCTGGGCCAGGTCTAGGCCCGGTGCCTGCACTGCGCCTCCACTCGGGGCCGGGGCAGCCTGTGGCATTTCCCCGCTTCCTCCGCGGAGCCTCTGCTTTCCACGAAAAAGGACTCCTCAGCGCAGACCGAGGCCAGGCTTTTGAGGAAAACCAAGAGCCACTCAAGGAAGCTCCGTTACCTGCCCCGTTTGAACTTCTGCCCACTTAGGCTCCGTGCCCGCCTGGCACTGCCCTCGCTGGCTCCCTGCGCCCAGGTGCTCCCACTCCCGCCTGTCCAGGGACTGGTTGATCCACCTCTTATCTCCACAGGCCTGTTGACTTTAAGGCTTGTCTGTTGACCAGGAAACACCAAAAGGGCCCCGGTGTTTTCTTCAGCCCGAGGGCAGATTTCCTGGTCAAGCCTGGCAGGAGGCCGGTGGCACCGCTGAAGCCCAACTGCCCGTTTCGGCCCCTTCAATTCTCTTTCGCCAAAGGACCCTCAAAGTCCGTCCCCTGAAGGCTCCCCTTAAAAGCTGCTCTCCCTCCCTCCCTCCCTCCCACTGAGCCCCCCTGTCCCCCCTTCCCCTAAATGACAGGCAGGGCTGCTCCACTTACGACCACAACTGGGAACGGAATCTCCATTGCTAAGCAAGGTGGTCATGAAGTGAATTGTGCCCGATTTTATGACCTCCAGTTGTTCCGTGAATCACAGTCGTTAAGCGGATCCCCATGGACTCTGCTTGTTGGAAGAGGGCCCGGTGTGTGTGTGTGTGTGTGTCACAAGGGGCGGCCCTGAGAAGCGGCCCCTGTCCAAAGGACCGGCCAAGTGGGCTGGGATCGTGTGACCGTCCACCACAAAGGCCTGCCAGGGAGGCCCAGCTGCACATGTGAATCACCGCAAAGGATCCGTGTTCCTTAGAAAAACAAACCTGTTTATTAAAAGACCAGGATTCCCCCCCCTCCCCACGCGCCCTCCTCCCCTTCAGCCGCTTCCCACGTGGGGCAGGGCCCACTGGCCACGTTTCACAAGACGGACGGACGGAGAGTCGCAGCCAAAGCGGAGGGACGGAAGACAGCTGACCGGTGGCGGCTTCCAGGCTGGGCACATCGACTCCTCCTCTGACTTCTCAGGCCTCCAGCAGGGCTGCCCCCACCCCACCCCCACGCGCCCCAGCGTTTAAAATCCAGGCGAAAAATAATTTAAAACACACAAATATATTATTTCTGCCTCCCAGAAGCCTCGGAGGGGGAGGTTCCCAGGGCCACCGACGTTCAGGAGCCGGCTAGGTAAATTCCTGGTGGGGGAGAAAGAAGGGGGGGGGTCACAGTCAAAGCCTCACCCAAGAGGGGGGGCCCCCACCCTCCTGGCGAAGGCTGCTGCCCAGCAGGGAGACCTGAGAGCATCTGGGGGTCTTGCTTGACCGCAAGGAGAGGCCAGGCTAAAGCCCTCCTGGCCCAGCGGGCCGCCTCCTACTCCCCTGGCTGGGGCCTCCTCAGGCCTGGGGGTCCCAGCCCCTCCGAGAGAGGGCAGAAGGGCCTGGGGGGGAGGGGGGGAGAGCAGGCCCTGCAAGGGGCAAACCCCCCCCCCCCCCCGAGACCATCAGCTCCGCCCTTTCCAGCTTGTGTTTCATTTCCGCTTCCTTCCTGTCCGGTGACGGACAGGTGTTTCTCTCAGGCCTCTTTGAACTCGGTCCCAGGAAGTCCTCGACTTACAACGGCTTAGTGACTCTTCCAAGATACGAGGCCACTGGAAAAAGTGGCTTACAACCGTTTTTCGCACTTACGACCGCTGCAGCCTCCCTGTGGTCACGGGGTCGGAGTTCAGCCGCTCAGCCACTGACTCCTACTTATGATGGTCACAGGGAGGGTCAAGCGATCCCCTTTTGTGACCTTCTGACAAGCAGAGGCCCTGGGGGAGGGAGGCGGGTTCACTTAACGACCGTGCTAACTCAACTGCAGGGATTCATTTAGCAACTGTGGCAAGAAAGGTCATAAAACGGGACAAAATTTGCCCAACAACTGCTTCCGGTTGTAAGTCGAGGACTCCCTGCACTGACCATTGACCCCCCCCCCCCCAGGGCCTCTCTCTCTCTCTCTCTCTCTCTCTCTCTCTCTCTCTCTCTCGGTGCAGGGATCCCCGCTGCCTGAAAGGGCTTCTGAGTAGCCGGCCCCACCCTCTGGGCAGAGCTGCAGGGGGGCAGGCAAGATGCCCTCAGGAGGCCCTGGGGACTCAGGGTGTGCATGTGTGTGTGAGCGAGAGAGCGAGAGGCTGTTGTGGATACCGTAGCCCCCCAGGGGAGCCTGCTTCAGCGCCTGCTTCGGGCTCCAGGCTAGAGACACCCCCCCCCTGGGGAGGGCACAACGCCAGCCGGGCAGCCTCCGCTTCTCTCACTCTCCCCGGTGCCGGAGGAGGAGGAGGAGCAGGAGGAGGACTCGGGCATCCTGCCAGGGAGCCCGCAGAGACCCGGGCCGGCCGGCAGTCACGGCAGAGAAACGGCTCAAAAGGAGGACAATGAAGCCAATCGAGCCCCCCCCATCCCCCATCCCCCTTCTCAGGGGTTTCGCTGCAGCCCGAGCCCCTTGGACCCCCTAATGGCTGGATCCTGCCCAGGTTATAGGGCCTCCTGCTTGAGCAGGGGGCTGGACTAGATGACCTCCAAGGTCCCTTCCAATTCCGTCCTTCTAAATGCCTGCGGAGATTCTCCGTCATCCAGGCCAGGGTTGCCCCCGAGGTGCTTTTTCCTTTGGGAAGACCTTTCGCTTCTCATCCCGGAAGCTTCTTCAGCTCTGACCGGAGGGAGGGGAGGGATTGGAACTCGTGGCAGACAAAGCTGGTCCTCTGCGTCCTTCCAGAGGGTCCGTGAGGCCACTTGCAGAGTCCCTTGGGTGGGGCAAGGGGTGGGGGCGGAGCTGCCCAAAGGACCCTGGTGAAGACTGCAGGCGGAGGAGGCCGGACCCCCCCCCCAATTGCGGGGGGCTGTTCCATTTTGGAGGATTTTGGGGCCTTGTGGGGCCCCCCCCTTCGAACCTCCCTGACCAAACGGTGTGTCTTCGGGGGGGGGGGCTGAGCCACACCAGCCCATCCCTCCGGGCCAGCAGCCAGGGGCGCCCCAGGCCACGCCCAGGAGGCCCACCTGGCAGGAGCCTCACCTGTGGCAAACCTCTTCTTCACCAGCGACATCCGGTAGCCGCTGCCCACCAGCTCCACGTCGGCTCCCGAGACGGTGCTGCCCTCACTGGTGAACTGGGCGGCCACTGGGGAGGGCCGGCTGGGTCCGTCCAAGGGCTCCCAGCTGGCCAGGAGGCGGCCGGACCCTGGGGGGGGGAGGGACGGGGAAGGAGGTGAAGGGCTGCGTGGGGCCCCCTCCCGCCCTGCCCACGGCTGAGGAAGGACAGCCTGCCCCCCCCTCCACCCCACCCCCCCGCTCACCTCCCTGGCCCTGGGTGCTGGGCACGTCCAGGAGCCGCCAGAGCAGGCGCTTCTCCTCCAGGTTCCTGCAGGGGGCGACACAGGGGGCGCTCTGGATGCAGCTGCCAGGGGCGTGTCACCCCCCCCCCATATTCTGCAATCCTGGTCCTCTGACCGGGCTGCTGCCCCCACCCCGGCCTCAGGGGGCCCAGGCCTCCGTTTTGGAGACTCGCCCCGCCCCTGCCCCACCCCCAGTCCCCCCCGTTTTGTTCCTGTTGGAGGGCGGCTGGCTAACTGGGCCCCGAAGAGCCGCAGGGGCTCCGGGCACAGCCGGAAAGGAGGGAGCAGAATCGGGGTTTTCCTGCCGCCGAGAGGGAGCCGGCCAAGGCCGCCGCCTCCTCCTCCTCCTCCTGGGTTGCCAGGGGCAACGGCTCTCTGGCAGAGGGCCTGGCCATTAGCCCGGTTGGCCTCGTAGCCCTCGGGGGCCCCTGGAAGCCCTTCCTGCGCCAGCCGCCGAGCCTCACCCAGGTGCCGCCTGGCGCTGGTGCCCCCCCCCCACTCACCAGCAGGCCTTGGGCTGGGGCCGGACGTTGGCCACGGGCTCCTCGATGGGCAGCAGCACCTGCACGTTGGCGAGGGCCACGGGCGAGGCCAGGGCGGAGGCGTTGTAGCGGTAGTCCACGCTCACCCGGGTGGCCTCAGGGCCGCACTCCCAGCTGACCGACAGCTGCAGGGGGGCCCACTGTGGCCCCTGCCGGGAGTACTGCGGGCGGCAAGGGGGGGGCAGGAAAGACGGGTGTGTGTGTGCGTGTTCGTGCATCACACCCCTGCCCCCTCCCACCCAGGGCTGCTGCCCCCCCCAGCCAACTCCAGGAGGGCATGGACTACAAACACCCCCCCCCAAAGTGCCCAGCAAGCAGGGAACCGCTGGAACTGTGGTCCAAAAGGACAGGAGGCCCCCGTGGGAACCCCAGGTCTCCCCGGGGAGGGGAGGGGCCCCCACGGGCCACAGGGGACCCCCGGCCTTAATGCAGCAGCTAGAAACCCCCCCAGAATCCCCCTCCCCCATCATCTTAACCAGGGAAGGTTACTAAGAACACACCACCCACAATCACACACACACACTCACACACACTCACACTCACACTACACTTCATGAAAAGCCAAGGTTAATTATCTTTCGGAGGTGGAAGCTGCTGGCTGGGCAAGTCCCAGCTCTGATGCCAAGCAAGGTCAGGCGTGGCCGGCCCTTGGATGGGAGACCACCAGGAGATGTTGGAAGACTGGGAAGTTGAGAAACACCCCAAAGGGCAAAGCCCCCCACAAGGCCTCCCCCCCTTTGCCCCCACCACATGGAGTTGTTTGGGGAGGGGTCCCCCACACCCCTCAACTGGGGTCCAAGCGTCTTGCTCTGGCCTCCCTCCACGGTCAGCCTGGGGTGGTCAGTGGGCAGGGAGCTCCACCCGCGAAGCCTCACCTGGTATCTGAGTAGCGTCACGTTGTAATACGGGGCGGTCCCTGACTGCTCGGCCTGCTTCTGGAGGTGCCCCGTCAGGGCGGCCATGTTGAGCCAGAAGTCCCGCCGGCTGGGGTCGCTCTGAGAGGCGTCACTGGGGGGGCCAGGAGAGACGGGGGGTGGGGTCAGTCTGACCAGCCAGCCTCCAGTTACAGCCCCCCCCGCCTACCAGGGGCTTCCGAGCGCTGCCTCCCCCGTGGCTGCCAGCCCCTCCCCCGCCCCCCCCCACGGGCACCTGAAGAGCAGGCTGGCATTGGGTAGGAACTGCTCGATGGGCGCTGTGTGCAGCAGGCGGAAGCTGAGGACCGGGGGGGGCCGGTGCGCTGCTGAAGACCCGGACGATGCCCGCCGGGAAGGACATGGTCAGCTCCCCGGTCACTTTGACGAGGCAGCTGCTGCGGAGAGAGGGAGGGAGGGAGGGAGGGGCCCGTGGGGAGCTGCGCCCTCTTGGCCCCCCAGCCCAGGGAGGCGGCCCGGGGGCCCCCAAGCGAAGGGCTCGGCCCAGGCGCCCAGGGAGCCCTTGGGCGGGGGGGGCTGGCTGGGCAAGGCCAGGGAGGGGGCGCCTGCCTGGAGAGCCCCACGGACCCCCCCCCACCCCCCTCCCCCCCAGTACCTGTCCGCCTCCTGGCCCTTGAAGTAAGCGTGGATGTACTCCGTGAAGGCCGTGGCCACGGGAAGGGCGCCCTGGGAGCCCAGCACCACGGGGGAGGGTCCACGGGAGACGCCTGGCAGGCAAGGAAGGAGGGTGGGGTCCCTCAGCGGCTTCGGCCAGCCGCCCGGGCCCCCAACCCAGCAGGAAAGGCCCCAAAGCCACGCCCCCCGCCCCCCCCCGGCCGGAGAGGACCTACCCAGGGCTGGCGGCTGGTGCGGCTGCTCGCTGGGCGTGAAGAGGCCGCGCTCCGTCAGGGCCGAGGTGCTTTGGGAGGAGGTCAGGGCAGACAGGGGGGCTGGGCTGAAGGAGCGGGGCTGGGGGGGGAGAGGGAGGTCAGCCCCCTGCCCTCCCCCGCACCAGGGCTTAGCGGGGGTGGGGGCTCTTCCCAGCCCCATAGCGCTTCTTAGCAACAGAGCCCGGCAGCCAAGAGGCCACCTGCTGGCTCCGGGGGGCACCCAGAGGGAGCCCAGAGGGTCTGCAGGGCTGGGCAGGGGGGCTCAGCGGGCTCCGGGGGGGGGGACCTGCCCCTTCTGGCACTCACCGTCTCGCCCCCGAGGCTGCTGGCCGACACGGCCGAGGGCCTCTTGGAGAGGGTTCGCCGGACAGGAGCCGCCATGGGGGGCCAGGCGTGGGGGGCCAAAGGGGGGAAGGCCGCTGCGGGTCAAGAGAAGGGGGTGATGGGAGGGGCACAAACGGCGGGCCGCCCCCTCCCCACCCAAAGTGGAAGCAGCTCCCTCCCAGCCTGGGAAAGGCTCCCACAAGCAGCGCTGCCAAACCCCCCCCCCGCCCGGCTGCCCCAGTGGAAGGCAGTTCCGCTGGCCAATCCTGCCCGTGAAAGCCTCTCCTCTTTCCCAAATGCCGGGATTTGCACCCAGAGCACAGAGGGGCCCTGGGGGGACAAATTCTGGTAGAGGGGCCGTTGCTGGGGGAGCCAACATAACTCCTCCCCCTCCGGTCCCCCCCTTCCGGCCCCCGGGAGCCCCTCGGCCCCTACTCACCATGATCGGAGGAGGCATCGGAGGCAGAGGGGCCCCGGCTGTCCAGGTCGCGGCCCCGGGGGGCCCAGGGGGAGGGGCTGGTGGAGTCCCCGCTGCTGAGGGGGGCCGGAGAGGAGGAGGAAGAGGAGGCCGAGTTGGAAGAGAGGCAGCTGTCGCGCTCCCCCGTACGAGGGGCCCCTTCCAAGGCTGCCGGGCTCCGAGGTCGGGAGGCCCAGAGGCGCCGGCCCCCCAGCCCGGCCTCCGAGGAGAAGAGGTCCGGGGAGCCGGTGGAGAAGGCCCGGGCCCCTGCAGGGGGCCAGGAGGCCCCGGACACGGCAAAGTCCGGCTCTGGCCCCGAGCGGGCGTCCTGGGGGGCGGAGGGCTGGGGCAGCCAGGGGTTGGGCCTCTCCTCGTGCAGGAGGGCCCCACGGCCGCCCCGGAACGCCAGGGGCCCCTTGGGGGTCCTCTGGCCCGGGGGGCTCAGGGGCGTGGCCGGCCGGGAGCTCCACAGGCGGGGGTCCGGGGAGGGCCCCGTGGCCAGGTGCGGGGGGGAGTCCAGGCCAGAGTCTTCCACGTTCTCGGGGGAGGAGGAGGAGAAGGGGGAGGGGCTGGAGGCCAGCAGGTACGCTCGGGGGGCTGCGGGCAGAGAGAGAGAGAGAGAAGAGGGGAGGGTTAACACGGAGTTGGGGGCTGCAGGGCCTCCCAGCAGCTGAAAGAGCAGCGATGTTGGGGCTGATGGGGCCCCCCAGGTCCCGAGGCCCGACCCTGAAGGGCCCTCCCCGTCCAAGGCACTGACCGGCCTCCCTGGCACCCCTGCAGTGGGCAGCCTGCAGTGAGGACCAGCGGGGAGAAAGCCCCCCCCCCCCCACCCCTTAGCCCCCCCCTTCCTCCCCCCCAGGGCGGTTCCCCTGCCCAGTGCCAGGGCGGTCCTGCCCCCCGCCCCCCCCGCATGGCAGTCTGGGCACCAGGGTGCCCTGGTCTCTGCCGGCTCTCTCTGGCCCCGCGGCTGCTGTGAAAAGGGGTGAGGGGGGCATCGAGGTCCGTGGGGCAGGAAGCGGAGACTGCGCCAGGGAGGAGCCGCCAGCAGAAGCAACGCCAGGCCCGGCCGACCCCTTTCCCCAAAGAGCCTCACATTCTCCAGCCTCGGGCGCGGGACTCGCTCCCAGGGCCCCTCGCCAGCCTCAGCCTTTCCCACCTGGCCTCCCCCGAAAGGAAGGGGGCAGCGAGGGGGGGCAGCCGTCCCAGGTAAGCAGGGGGCTCGACCAGCCGCTCCGGCCATGGGGCAGGTTCCTCCCGCAGTTCAAGGGCCGAGAGGGCAGCTGGCACCGCACCCGGCCAGTGCCTAATGCCAGGGAGGGCCAGGGGGGGGGGGGCAGGAGACCGTTCCCTGGGCGAAGGCCCCGGCACCCCCGACTTCCGGCCCGGGTCACCTTGCTGCTTTCCTGAGCCCAGGGGCCCCTGGTTGGGGAAGGGCCCTGCTACCATAGGCACTGGCTGCCGTTGGCTCCCAGGCCGCAGTGGGCCCTCCAGGCCCCGGAAGACAGGCGGGCACAAGTCCCCTCGGCTGGCAGAGCCCCCCCCGCCCCCCGCCTGCTTCCATGGCCATCAGCCAGTGACGGAGAACCTCCATGGACCGGAGCAGTTTCCTCGTCCTGGCGAGCAGCAGCCGCGGGGGGGGGGGTGGGGGAGGCCGCTCCCTCTGGGTCCCTCCCTGCCCCTCCCTGCTCCCAAGGCCCCTTCCGCCTGCTTCCCAGGGCGCAGCCGGGTCTCCCCCGACAGAAGAGACACGCACGGCACACCTGGGGAACAGCCCCACCTGTCTCAAGGGAACGTTTCCTGCTGATGCACAGGACCTTCCCAAAATGCGTCACCACAGCCCAGAACGGGTTGGTCCTGTTATGTCCCCCCTCTGCCCCCCCCGCCCCCCCCCCAGGCCAAACCCTGCTGTAAGGAAGCGGCTGCCCTGCTCCGCCAGGACAGGAAGAGGCCACGGGTGGATCCAGCAGCGGAGGGAGGAGCTGCCCCTGTCCTGGGAAGACCCCCCGGGCCGGCCGGGGGGCTGGGGTGTGGGGGGGGCTGGGTCTCCTCCCCTTCTTCGTCCAAAGGGACCTGGGCAGGCTTGAGCCAGGGGGGCCGTCCAGCCAGGGGAAGGTGGAGGAGAGGCGGGTTTCGCACCTGGGCAGGAGAAGCCGAAGGGAGGAGACGCACAGCCGCCAAGAGGGGAGACCGGGGGGGGGGGGGGCGCCAAAAGGCCCGGGGGGGGGGGGGACACACTGCCTGCGAGGCCCCCTAAACAGAGGCCTCGAATCGAAGCCCCGGGAAGCCCCCCCCCCAGTCCGGCCTGTGGGGAAGCTGCAGGTGCTGGGCCCGCCCCCTCCCCCCTCCCCCTCCCTGGGGGGGGTCTCACCTGGGAAGGCTTCGTTCTCAAAGGCCGACTCCAGCGGGGGCCCGAACAAGGCGCTGGCCGGAAGGGCCTCTGGCTTCCCTTTGTTCTCACCGCTGGGGGGAGAGAAGGCGGGGATGGGGGAGGGGGCAGAGGGAAGACCCCCCCCAGCGGCCCCCCCCAGGGGCTTCAGGCCTTTTCTCCCCAGGCTCCCCTGGGAAAGGGGCAGGCGGGGAAGCCCACCTCAAGGCCCGAGTGGAGACCCCTGCCCCATTTGGTTTCTTTAGCACTGAACCCCCCCCCCCCCCCCCCCCCCTCTAATCCCCAGAGCAAACAAGGAAGCTGGCGCAGAGCCAGCCCACCTGCAGCCTCCCTCCCGCGTACCTGAGACACACGGGCTCACCTGCTCATCCGGGGCACCAGGTTGGGGGTCCCAGCGCTTCCCGGTTTACCTCCTGCGAGGGAGGGGCAGAAGCACAAAGTTCAGGGGGGCCCCACCCCACGCGTCGTCCCCCACCCCCTCCCGCTCTTGCGGCCTCACCTCTCTCCCCTGCGCCCGGGGCCGGGCCGGAGCCGGTGGGCACCGCAGCAGCCGAAGGGGGGGCTCTCAGGTGCCCTGCAAGGAGAGAGGGGCAACTGGAGGGGCACCCCGAGTCTGGGCTGCAAGTCCAGAGAGGGGTCAGCCCCTCCCCAGGCCACAGAAGCAGCCCCCCCCCAGGGGGGCAGGGGCCTGGCCCAGAGCGGGGGCAGGCGGGCCTCCCCCCGCGCTAGTGTCCGCCCCCCCCAAAGTCCCAAGGCTTGAAGCTGCTCACTCGGGGAGCCCCCCCCCAAAAAACCCCTTCGCACCCACATTGGGCTCACACTGCCCGGCCGTGGGGGGCGCTGTGCGGTTTGGGCAGCCTGGCTCAGGCCTCCGTCTGTCCTGCCAGGCTGGCCGACCGGCCCCCCAGAGCAGCCCGAACCCCCCCACTGCAGGGGCCCGGGGGGGGAGGGGCACTCACGGGAGGAGTGTCTCTTCATGGTGCCCTGCAGGAGAGAAGGGGAGGGGTCAGGGGCACGGGGGGCACGGGGGGGGTTCCTCCCCCAGATAGGCAGCGAGAGGGCAGCCCCGCCCCCCCGTATCCCTGGCTGGCCCCCCCACCCCGCCCCACTCACCCCCACGCCGGGCGGCAGGATGAGGCTGCCCACGGAGGCCTTGAGCTGCTCCGTGGCGGCCGAGGTGGCAGCGCTGCCCACCCGCTCGGGGGGCTGGACAGGCTTGATCCGGATGTAGAACTTGGGGGGGCTCCTCGTCGTCGTAATCTGAGTCACTGGACGAGCAGAAGCGGCTGCTGTGTTCGCGTGGAGCCAAGTCAAGGAAAGGGCCGGGGGGGG